CCATTTGTCGTTGATTGAGTTTACCTGCAACAACAATTATCATTCTAGTATTGGAATGTCACCGTATACAACATTGTATGGTAGAAGATGTAGGACTTCTTTGTGTTGGTATGAATCAGGCGAGAGTGTTATACTCAAACCTGAGATTGTGCAAGAGACGACTGAAAAGATCAAGATGATCCAAGAAAGAGGAAAGTTTCACAGAGTCGTCAGAAGAGTTACCATGATAAGAGGAGGAAAGTACTTGAGTTCCATGAAGGAGATCACGTGTTTTGAGAGTTACACCGGTAACTGGTGTTGGCCGAGCTTTGAAGTCTCGAAAGCTCACACCGTATTTTGTTGGTCCATATCAGAGTGGTGCAGCGGAAGCGTGGGATAAGTAGCATGTCAGATTGCTTTACCGCCGTCGTTTGCGAATTTGCATGATGTGTTTCGTGTGTCTCAGTTGAGGAAGTACATTCCAGATTCGTCACATGTGATTCAGATGGATGATGTACAAGTGGAGATAATTTGTCTGTTGAGGCATTATCAGTTTGGGTTGATGAACGAGAAGTGAAGCAACTGCGAGGTAAAGAGATTTTCTTAGTAAAGGTAGTTTGGGGAGGACCAGCTGGAGAAAGTTGGGCTTGAGAGCGTGAGGATCAGATGAGGGAGTCGCATCCGACTCTGTTTCCTTGAGGTAATTTTCGAGGGCGAAAATTATTTTAAGTGGGGGAGAGTTGTAACACCCAAAATTTATTGAAATATTTATTTAAATATGAATATTCGCATTTTTGGTGATTTTCGGTGGTTGGTGTGAATATTGAGAATTATGGATTTTGAGTTATTTATTTAAATAATAGTATATAGTATGAATATATTGGTAGTATTATTAATTTAAATAAATATAAGTGGATTAAGGAAAAAGTGGACATTTGAGGAGGAGTTAGTGAGGGGGAAGTTGGAAAGCCCAATTTTAAGGCCCAAAGTTAGGTTTAACAAAAAGGAATTTTGAGGGAATTAGGATTCATTCTTGTTAGACCGTGAAAAGGGAAGAAATAGAGGTCAGATCTCTAAGGAAGAGGATTGAGGCAAAATTTTCGCAAGGTTTCCAAGAATCAAGGAGAAAGGCTTAGAGTCGGCAATTAAGGTATGAGGAGTATTGTCTTCATTGTTTTCAATATGTGATTTAATGTATTTAAAGCTGATTTAAGGATTTAGGGATTTTTGAGTATTGAATTGTTGTTGCCTTTCTGATGGTGAGTTCAATGAGTTTGAGGGATTTGAACTGATGGTCTGATAGGTTTGAGGCTAATTTGAGAATAAGGGAAATTAGGCATTTGTAGCCAAAATCTGTTGATGAGGTTTTAACCGTATAGGGTAATTGATTGTGAGAACTTTAATGACTGTGGGGTAGTTGTAAAAAATTATGGGAATTAGAGGCGTAAATATGATACGGGATTGGCCTAATAAGTCGTAGGTTTTGTGTCTTTATCGCCGTAATACCTTAGGAATGATTTAGGGATGTTTTTAGGGAATTGGGGAAGGAAATCGTAGAGGTTTTTGGTCTGGTTTTGGTGCTGGTGTGTAATAGCGATTTATTGTAATCGCGAGTTCGCACGACAAACATTCGCCTCAGACTCGCACTGCAAACTTGCTAGCGAACGTAGTAGAGTTTCGCGAATTCTGATCTTGTGCAGTGATGTCTTGATGTTTTGATGCTGTGATTTCTTTGATGAATTACCATGAGTATGACTATGATTCCTATGTGATTATTACATGATTGTATGATGATTTCTATGATTAACGATGATGAATTATGATGTTGATTTCAAGAGTTTTGATGATTATATGATGACATGATTATTATGATGATTTTGATAAATGATGATACACCTAATGGGTTTATTATAAGGATGATATTGACGTGTGCATCATGCATTCATATGCATCCAGACTTCGGTTCAGGACCTTAACTTTTGTGGCTTCAGTCTCATTGTGCGGATGTGAGGTATTTTGTTGTGCTCCGGTTCTCGTGTAGAATCGATCCTACTGTTGTGGATCTATGGAGGGTTGATGGCCCAGTGTCCATCGAATTTTGTTGATTAGTACCACATGCATGAGTCTTGTTACATTTGCATTTATGTGATATTTTGATGTAATTTATAATGTTGTGGCCTTTGATATTCCTTGATGATTATGATGATGTTGAATATGAAAATAACGTCATTTTATATATTGATTCCTATATTGATTATTATGAATCGTTTTACTCACTCTGTCTGTTTGAATGTTGCCTCCACGTGGGTAACGTGTAGATGACCAGGTATAACCGTGGATGTCGTCGAGGACTTTTTGAAGTTTTTAGGTTGTTGGTCATTGTGGTTGACGTAGAGGGTCTTGCTCTGATAGTGTAACATCGGGTTGGGGTCTTTGATTAAACTATATTTTATTGATTTTTTATTATGTTGATTTTCTTGCGGCGAAAGGAAAACTTTGGATTTGCCTTTTTGAGATCCGCTGCTATTTGAGCACTTTTGAGTAATTTTGAGAAAATTTGTTGCTTACGGAGCATTGACTATATTTGAATTTACTGAGAAATGTACGCCCTTTGAGATGATTTTATTGTGTTCAATATTTTACTCTGATAAATTTGATTATTTTGCCATGATATTCGTCGGATAGAAAAAGGTGTTACACAATCCATCATCAATGTTAACATATACACACAAGAAACAACATTTTAACCATAAACTCACATCAATATCATGAATATAACATGAATCATATATTTCTCATGGAAATGAAACAAGAACACCATAACCTAACTTTTCTCATTCTATTCAAATACTCTAACCTTGAGTTTCTACCTATAATCCACCTCTAAATGATGGTGAAGAAGTTGTTGATGATGAAGATAAGATGATTTGATGAAGAAAAGATGAAGTCCCAAGCTTCTCTTCCTCTTTCTCTTCTTTCTCCCCCTTCTCTCTAACTTCTTACTATCTTTCTCTCTATGTTGCCAAATGAAAGGAAAAAAGAAGGAAAATGATATAAGGAAAACATCATTAAAGTTAGTAAGACTAACTTGGTTAAATGTCCAAAATTGAGGGCATCCAAAATGTCTCTAATGTACTAATTAATAAAACCTCAGAGTCAGATAATATTATTTAAATCAACTCTGAGCTCATCATTTACTCCAATCATCTCAACAGATAACTCTTAGAGTACACCGAAACCCATTTGATCCCAACTAATATTAGTTAGAGCATTTTATTAAATACGGGGTATTACATTGCCAAAGATGATGACGGTTGCGAGGGGGTTATTCAATATTGTTTTGTGTATAATGATAGTTCTACGTAAATTGGTTACGATAACGATTGTGTCACTAAAACTGTTGTGACATTTCATCTTCAAATAGAGCGTGAAGGCAATTGCATTTAAGGTTGCCAAAAACGACCAACCCAGGATGTCGTTGTAGACGCTTTTACAAGGAATAACGAAAAAGCACATTTTTGTGGTTCTCTGATTTTACCTTCTCCAAACGAGACTAATAGTTCTATGGTCCCACATGGATGATTTGAGGAGTCATTGAATGCCAACAGGTTCCAACCTTCACACGACTTTAAAATTTTCATGCGCAGTCCTAATAAAATACATCGTGTCACACAAGCTTCTGTCATTGGCGAGGATCTACGATACTAAATGATTGGTTATGATGGTGATTATGAATAGCGGAAGCGTCACATTAGGAGTTCCATCCACCTTCTTTTTGCCTCGAAATCCTAGAATATGTTTATCTTTTTATTGTCTTTGGACTGTTGCTGATGATTTGAGTGAGCTTCGCGGTGGAGAACCTTTTTGTTAGAAGATCTGATACCAACTGAGTCAACGACGAAGATAGGAAACAATATAAATGCTAAAAGAGCTATGAATTTCCTGCGGCTGGATCGAAAGTCATCTTTTTTACTCGAGTGTAATTGTTGTTGTGATTTATGCCTTTGGATCAGAAGAAATCGGATTATGAAAATTCATTGAAATCAGAAATCAATTTTCACAAACGACACATCCGTTCTGCTTGGAAACCATAAATGCTTCGTAAAATGATAGGGTAAAGTCTTGATGCGGCATAAGAGATCTCTGATGCGACAGCAAGAGATGTATTTGTAAGATTATCACTCTAATATCCAAATCAATAAAAAAAAATACTAAAATGAGTTATAATTTAAAGAATACATCAGATTTTACAGATTTTACGTGAGATGCCATATATATGGGAGACAATTATAGACTTTTCCTACCATTTTAATATGGAATGCATGAGATATTTCAATGACATTTAAACAATAGCCCATGATATAAATGGAGTATGAAGTTTTAAAATATAATTACATTGTACCTTCGACATTGGATTGATGATTGAACCTTCTCTTAAACATGTGGCAGCCCGAAACATATTCTAATATAAAATGACGTGAATGTGATGGTCCAATATCGAGCTTCTAGATCCAATCTAAAACAGTCTAGGCCAGCTTCTTCAATCATATTTATTTATACATGTGAGTGAGAGTGAAACAATTATTTTGGGAGGAAGGGTGTAAATAAATAAAAATTGAAATGATTGAGAAAGCATATTTATATTGCTGAAAATGCACCGAAATAGATGCCAATAATACATGAATGGGGCAATAACGTAAAAAGAAGTTAACAAAAGTGGGGTCCTAATAGATAACGTGATCAAAGTTATGCGCTGGTTATAGTTGGTTTCTCTCGTGGCCGTAACATGGCTGTCACCCTTCCAACAATGAACGGCCCTCACTCACTCCAAAACAAAACAAAAACAAAAATATCCCGCCCTCCATTATTACCATCTTAACCCCCGCATTTCCCTCTCTTCACCACTCCCACTTCCATCCATATAAATATCTATCCCTCTCTTTCATCATCATAACCGCTCATCGACTTCTCATTTTCATTGTTTTCATTTTTTTCATTTCGCCAAACCCTAAATCTCAACCATGCGAGAGATCTTGCACGTTCAAGGAGGCCAATGCGGTAATCAAATTGGATCCAAGTTTTGGGAGGTTATCTGCGATGAACACGGCATTGATCCTACCGGTAAGTACGTAAGCGAAGGCGGAAACGATACTCAATTGGAAAGGATTAATGTTTATTACAATGAAGCTTCTGGTGGACGCTATGTTCCTAGAGCAGTTCTTATGGATCTCGAGCCTGGTACTATGGAAAGCATCAGATCTGGTCCGTTCGGGAAGATCTTTCGTCCCGATAATTTCGTTTTTGGTCAATCTGGTGCCGGTAATAATTGGGCCAAAGGTCATTACACTGAAGGTGCTGAGTTGATTGATTCTGTTCTTGATGTTGTTCGTAAAGAAGCTGAAAATTGTGATTGCTTGCAAGGTAATGAAAATTTCTTTTTTCGCGTTTCATTAGATTGCGTAATGCTGTTTATTGATTCATCTATAGATCTGTTGAATTTCATTGCTGATGTTTATTTCTGTCATAATTATGATTGATTGAAATTGTGTTTGAAATAATTGATATATACTGCAATCTTAATTAATAAACCTAGCGAAAGAATGCGCACTCTGAAAATTCTGAGAGGATCCAATCCATTTTTGGGAGATCTAGGATTTCGATCCATTAATTATAATTATAAGTTATAAATTCAACTCAACGTACTTAATAATTGCTGATATACCATAATCTAATTATTTACTTATTTGTTTGCTTGGTTGTTGTTTTGGTGGAACGAAGCTTCGGTGACATTTGTGTAATAATGACAATATTTTATGGATTGATATGCTACGAAAATAAATGAAAAATACTGTGATAGGTCGACATTCCTGACTTTATGGATCTGTTCATGCTTTTTGTCATCTGTAGATCTTTTATAAAAAAGAAACTAGATCTGGGGTAGCATGATGGTTTTCTTCATGTCGGCTTTAAAGCAACTTGCTTTTTTATATTGGAGAAGTTGGTTACATGGTGCTGTTGTGAGTTATATATTGTCCATGTTCTCTTGATTGTATGACATGCAGGGACCACTCTATTTTTTATAGTGCATAATTATATAAAACACTATAGAATATGATTCTTTTCTAAACCATGTGTTTTCAAAAAACTAAAAGCATTCTGACCCAAGCAGAGTATATAAGTGTTGTCTTTATGTACAAATATATATTTTTTTCTCTGAAGGGGTTCTGTTATATATAGAACACAATTGATATCATGGTTTTTAAACAGGGCATGAACAGATCCGGGTTGGTATGATTTCATGGTATTGTTATACTTTAATGCAGCACAGAATTAGTACATGCTCCGGGAAATCAGATTTATGAACTTCATATTTGCCATTTTTTGTTCTGAGAATCTAAAAATTACATTTTTATATTGTCAGGTTTTCAAGTTTGCCACTCGCTTGGAGGAGGCACAGGTTCTGGCATGGGAACACTGTTAATATCAAAGATTAGGGAGGAATACCCAGACAGAATGATGCTCACTTTCTCTGTTTTTCCATCTCCAAAGGTGTCTGACACAGTTGTTGAGCCATACAATGCTACCTTATCTGTACACCAACTGGTAGAAAACGCAGATGAATGCATGGTTCTTGACAATGAAGCACTTTATGACATTTGCTTCAGGACATTAAAACTCAGCACCCCTAGCTGTAAGTATTGTTTCCTCTATTTTAGTCAATCTGATTGCTCTAAGATTGGGTAAATAATAACATTTTTTTATTTATTTCTTTTCTCATGGTCTAATTGCAGTTGGGGATCTGAACCATCTAATTTCTGCAACCATGAGTGGGGTTACATGTTGTCTGAGGTTTCCCGGACAGCTGAACTCTGATCTCAGGAAGCTGGCTGTCAATCTGATTCCATTCCCACGTCTTCACTTCTTTATGGTGGGTTTTGCACCTCTCACTTCTCGTGGCTCTCAACAATATGTATCCCTTACCGTCCCGGAACTGACTCAGCAAATGTGGGATGCGAAAAATATGATGTGTGCTGCTGATCCCCGACATGGCCGATACTTGACTGCATCTGCTATGTTCAGAGGAAAGATGAGCACCAAAGAGGTAGATGAGCAAATAATCAATGTGCAGAACAAGAATTCATCGTACTTTGTTGAATGGATTCCCAACAATGTGAAGTCTAGTGTCTGTGATATTCCACCCAAGAATTTGAAGATGTCCTCCACTTTTATTGGGAATTCAACTTCAATTCAAGAGATGTTTAGGAGGGTGAGTGAACAATTCACTGCTATGTTTCGGCGCAAAGCCTTTTTGCATTGGTACACTGGGGAGGGAATGGACGAGATGGAGTTCACAGAGGCTGAGAGTAACATGAATGATTTGGTAGCAGAGTACCAACAATACCAGGATGCAATTGCCGATGAGGAAGAGTTTGAAGAAGAAGAAGGTGAGGAACACCAGTATGCGGAGCATTAGCTGAATGAAACTCTCGGGTAATGCGCTAATGGTAAAAATGTCCACTATGCAACTTTGCTGTTATTTGTGTATCTACAGCCATATATGCTCTTTTTTTATTCTTAATTTTACCTGTTCCTTTACATTTTGCCAATTTCATCTTTAAGTGTATTATTATTATTATTATTATTATTATTTCTGAGTTGTTTGGGAATCGGATTGTGAATTGTCAGACAAGGGTTATTCTATACTTCAATTCCTTTAATCATACGTATGTATTTATGTATTTTTGTGGATTTATTTTGTTTCTTACCAATTCAATTTGTTTTAAGAAAAGGGCTGGGACTTTCCCATCCTAACTTTACCCGCCATGCCATGAACCCATCCGCAACTCCAAGACTAATGCTTCATTTGGAAGGTGGAAAAAAAAAGTAAAAAGAGTAAAATAGATCACGCTATTTGGATGAGATAAAAAGAGTAGAAAATGTTCTTTGCTTTATGGCAATACGTGTGTTAAAATTGAGTTTTAATTCTTAAAATTGCTAGATTTCATTCTTGTAAATTGGAGTTTAAATTGTTTTCATGGGAGTTAACATCTGGTAAAATTTCTAAAATCAAATAGAATCTAATACGATTTTACGTGAGTTTATCTAATGTTAAAGAAATTAACCTGCGTTTTTTTAATAGTTTAATTTTTAAAAACTTTAAAACTTATGAAGCTCTTGTTTTAATTCTTCAATGGTCTGCATTTTAAATTTGGCTTGGGGTTTCGAGGTGATTTTGACATTTTTAGAGAATTTCTTATGATACTTTATAGGGTGGAAAATATGAAAAATCGAAATTATTCTTTAAATTTTAGAGATGTATCTTTATATGTATCATATATCAACATTATGACACATTAAATGAATGGTATCTTATACGAACACAAAAAAATTCGAACATACGTCTTCAGATATTTTCAACAAATATATTAAAATTTAATAAGTTCAGTGATTATTCCGGCGATTCATCTTCAGAAGTTTCAGGTAGGATTTTAAAATTGATTGTCACCTTTGTACGTTAGATATTTTCAAAGATACATCTCTAGAATGATTTGATAAAACACAGAGTTGCATGATCACACGACCATACTTGTTTTTCACTCAAAACTCTCACCAAAAACCCTTCCATTCTCAATCCACATTTTCATTTCAAATATTCAATCTTGTGTTTCATCACATCAAATGGAGTAAAAGAAGTTGGAATTTCAGGTAAATATCATTTATTTCAAGCTTCATTGCTCACATTAAACTTGTTTCTGGCTGAAAACTATGCGTTATTTTCGCAGATACATTTTCAGTATCAGTTTGTGTTCATTTTTTCAGCTCTATTTACAGAATTAACATTTGTTTACTATTCTGTGGTAATTCTTATCATTAGATATAGAGCACCTCGATGTTTTCCCCAAAAATGTTGTGTCTCTAAATGTCAAAGGTGTTGTTGTGAAGGCGGTAGATATTCACAACCAGTTTAGCAATGAGCAAGAGTTTGAAATTTGTGATCACATGCTTCACTAGATTCATACAGAGGCCTTCAAACCGGGATTCAGTGTGGTAATCGAAATATCCGATAATGGTTTGGATAGAAAATGTACTTTTGTGACAATGACGTGCGAAAGAAGCGGGAAATATATATCTCATCTTCAAATCTTTAAACGGGACAACACTTTTTCATGAAAATGTGAATGTTCATTTAAGTTGTGTGGTTATATTTTGGCGAACAGTAAATGGAGATTTAATGTCATATGTGGTTTGTATAGCCATAACTTGTGTGAAAAATTAGTCGGCCAGTCAATTGTGTGTCGCCTCTTGTCGGAAGAGAAGAAATGTGTTACTGACAGACATTGAATTTGGTTCAACCAAAAAATATTCTTGCAACTTTGAAATGCAAAAGACCCGAAAATGTTTCAAATATCAAGCAAGTGTATAATATTCGGTACCAAACTAACAAGGCGTTGAAGGGGGGGGGGGGGATAGAACCGAAACGTAACAACTTTTGAAACTCTTGGATGGTAAAAATTATGTGTCTAGGTATCGAACTTGTGAGGATGGAGTAACCGTTAGAGATATATTTTGGACTCATCCTAATTCCATCAAGTTGTTCAACATGTTTCCTGTTGTTCTCATAATTGATTCGACGTACAAGACCAACAAGTACATGCTTTCGTTATTGGAGATTGTTGGTGTTACCTCTACTGAGAAGACCTATTTTATCAGGTTTACATTTCTAGAGAGCGAGAAAGAGAAGAATGCTACTTGGGCCTTAGAGGTGTGTCGAGTAATGTTGATGGACCAAAAAGAGATGTCTAAAGTGATTGTTACCGACTGCGATACCGCGTTGATGAATCTGATTGCAAAGGTATTTTTTACTTCTTATACATTACTTTGTAGGTATCACATAGCAAAGAATGTGAGAAATTAGATTAAACCTGCGGTAGGGACGAAATAAATAAAGTCCGAAGATGGAAAAATGGTAAAGGCGAGTGTGGTTATGAAAAACTAATGGATGCATGGGGTTGTATAGTAAATTCTTCCACTAAAGAATCATATGTTGATTCTGTTATGCATTTTAGGAAAGTGTGTGAAAAATATCATGATTTGTTAAAATATGCTGAAAGCACAATTCATTACCAGGTGAAGGAGAAAATTGTTTATGCTTGGACTAATCAGGTTAGACATCTTGGAAATACAACAACTAACCAAGTTAAGTCTTCCCAAGCTACATTGAAGAATTGGTTGGGAAATAGTAAGAGCAATTTGTGTAGAGATTAAGACTACATGAACCAAATGATTTTAGAACTAGCATAATGAGATACATACATCATTTAGTCGAAGCATCACAATTTTGGAACACATATTTAAAGATAACAATCTTTATTCTCAGTTGGTCAACAACATATCTCGAGCGGGTTTGAATTATATTTTTCACAAAGCTAAACGAGCGATAATGTAGGCTTCGATAATGCAAAGTCTAGATGCACAATTGTGAGAATATATGGTCTCCCATATGCTTGTGTTATTGCAAAAACAAGTGAATTTTGGTAGCCCGATAAGAATGGACGAGGTTTGCACTCACTGGAAGAGGCTTAGGTTAGATGATGATGATAGTGTCATGAAAGATGGTAAATCGAATATCTCTATCTTCACCGAATGGGAAGTGATATAAGAGAGGTTTTTGAAAGCTGGTAACAACATGAAACTCCACATCAAAGAACAATTGAGGAATATTGATTATCTGGAAACCACCGACTTGAAACTACCCTGCTAACTAGTAAAAATAAAAGGTGCTTCGAAGAAGCTCAAACCTACACCAAATGACAATTCAACGACACAGTCTCCTTCATATTTTAAACATGTTGACAAAGTTTTTCTCAACTCACCAACTCTAAAATCTCAAAAAGTGTTTTAAAGAAGCTCGCATTATCAAATCACCTTCTTCGCCGCCTCCATCAAAGATTCCATTTTTTGACAAGATGTCAGTTTTTATGGACAAATACATTGAGCAAATCGTCAATGTTGAGGGTGACAGTAATTACGATTATCGAGCTATTTTAGCTTTACTCGGTAAAGGAGAAGATAAACTTGTCTGTCATCAACTTATCCATGAGTTGAGGAGTCATAAAGAATCATACACGAGACTTTACGAAAATAAAGAAAACTTTGATGCAATTTATGAGTCTCTTGTTCTTTACTTTAGTGGACCGACACTAAAGGCTAAGTGGACGTGCTTCCTTGAAATGGGTCACCTCATAACATGTGCACATGATAGAGTTTGTATTGATCTTACACGATACGGTTTTTCGGAAACCTTTTCCCAACTATGCACCGCCCCACCTCAAAATCCAAACTATCGTATTATGTGTATTAGGTGGCTTTCAAAGTCACGATATTCTGTTCAAGTTTACTTGAAACCAGGATTCCCTATACCTCTTACATAACTGGAGTGAGCAGCTCATTCAACAACTAATGTCAAGACTTGGCTGAACCATTTTGTGAAAAGGATGCAAGAGTTCGAGAAATTGAGCAACATTGAAAGAGAATCAAATGCACACAATTTAAATGGGGTACCACCCATAGATTTAACTGGCGACAAATTTTTCAATTCATTTCAAATTTTTTAGTCGGACAAATAGGTGTATGTAATTGTGTCTCAATATTAATGAAGTGTAATATATTCAATTTCTTAATATTTTAATACTTTTTTTTAATCTTTTCTAAAACATTTATTCATTTTCCAAACAAATTCATCATGTAGGTTATGTTTTCAAAGGTTCTATTTTTTGCATGTTCAAGAGGTTCTGGAGATGTATCTTCGGAATAAGACAATAGAGCGGCACGAAAAATGTATCTCCGAAACTAGCACTAATGCTTGACAGAATTTTGCGGTCCACATTTGTCTACAACTTCTATAAATTTAGGGGCTCTAGTATTTTATTTCACACAAATAGAAAATATCTCAAATGTCACAAATAAACATCCTCTGGTATGTCACAAATGTCTCCTTCTCCAGCGCGACACCCGGGAGAAAATTTAAGCTCAATAAGTACACCTCTTTTGCAAATCTGAAATACGAAGTCCATAATCTTCTACCTTACATAGACAATCGAAAATTATCAAGCTCGAGTATCATTCACCATCGATTGACAACAGAGGGAAGATTGAATTTGCCAAATTTGAGCTCAAAACGGGTGCAGATGTAAGGGCTATGTGGAATACATTTTTACGTTTCGAAACAAAAGTTCCGCTCGAGTTGGAAGCGACAATTTCTAGATCGGTCAAAGATATTGTGAAAATGATGAATCATCTACTTGAATATTGGAGTGTAATGTTTTATTTTATGTTGAAATCATCTATGTAATGTTGTTTTTATGTTATGAATGATAATTTTATTTTGTTAAAATACAAGTTTTTTGGTTTTTGCCTTTGATAGTGTTGCGCATATGTTACGGAAATGCATCTACGAACAAATTCTGGAGATGC